CATCTATCTATCTTTCTTTCTTTCTTTCTTTCTTTCTTTCTTTCTTTCTTTCTTTCTTTCTTTCTTTCTTTCTTTCTTTTCTTTCTTTCTTTCTTTCTTTCTTTCTTTCTTTCTTTCTTCCTTCCTTCCTTCCTTCCTTCCTTCCTTCTTTCTTTCTTTCTTTCTTTCTTTCTTTCTTTCTTTCTTTCTAAGACAAGTTCTCACTATGTAGCTCTGGCTGGCCTGGAATTCCTTATGTACACCCAGAAGGCCTCAAATTCACAGAGATCTGCTTGCTTCTGCCTCCCTACTGTTGGGAATAAAGATGTATGCTACTCTGCCTGGATAATTTTTACTTTTGCTCCATATATACTTAAAAATTCACTCATCCAAAAACTGAAGAATGATACAGAACTCAGGATCTCATACTGTAGTCCATACTGGCCTTGAACTCAAGGTGATACTCCTGCCTCAGCCACCTGAGTTTTTTTTGTTTGTTTGTTTGTTTTTGTTTTGTATCTCTTTTTAAAAATTACTTATTTAATGCAAAGTATCTGATGGTCTGCTCTCATCTTCAGGGCAAAACACTCCGGAACACAGAGGGTAAAACCCGTCCTGGCAATCAGAAGGAAAGAACTCACCATTGTGCTGGCATTCTGAGTCTGCTCATCACCCCGAGTTGCATTAAGGGTGGATGAGGACTGAGCTGCAATTTGACCTTGACCCTAAATCATACACTAACCTCTAACCGGACCCTGACCTTGACCCATCGTGTTGGGCAAAATAACACACGCACTCCCCAATGTATCCATGTGTTAAGCCGAGAATATGTTGCCTCATGGGTTGGATATGGTTTAAGTGTGTCCCCCCAAAATGTCTGTGTGCTAGAAGCTTGGTCCCCATTGTGGCTGTACTGAGGTGGTAGAAGCTGTAAGAAGTAGCCCTGATGAGGCTAGAAAGACAGCTCAGCGGTTAAGAGCTGCTCTTCCAGAGGATCCCACCCCCTCTTGCGGCTTCCCTGAGCACCAGACACCCAGCAGCTTGGTGGGCAGACATATGCATGCAGGCAAAGCGCCCACACACATAAAAATAAATTAAAAAGTAGGGCCCAATAAGTAAGTTAATCCATGCATCACAACTGCATTCCTGCACAAAAGTGTGTGCGCCCAAGACACACACACACACACACACACACACACACACACACACACACACACGCAGAGAGCTAGTGGAAGCTAGTAGAAGGTGCTCAGATCATTGGAGTTGCCTTCATCATCAATGTAGCTCTTGAGATAAAGTTGTTTTTGTTTTTTGGTTTTGTTTTGTTTGTTTTTTAAGTCTGGCCCCTCAGTTCTCTGCGCTTCCTGATCACGGGATCTCTCTGTCTCCTCTCTCACCATGAAGTCCTCACCAGAGAACTAACGCATGATAGCACTTGATATTGGACCTTTGGCCTCCAAATGAGAGCTAAATAAACTTCGTTTTGTACTCATTATAGTATTGTCTTATATTAACAGACAATGTGATAATACACACAGCATGGAGCACAGACTTGGAGGCTGGTTTTTGCAGATAGGCCCATCCACCAGGAAGAAAGCAAGTTAGCAGTTGTAACAACTAGTTAATAACGGAGGCCAACCGAAAACAGAGGGATGTCGTGTGTGGTGGCTTCCCAAAAAAGTCTGGGGCTGGCCTGGGTTGCAATCCATTTCTAGAAAGCATGAGACCAAACTGCGGACCTGAGGCCTTGCAGACCACTTGGCCCATCCCCAATTTCCGGTTTCTTCTCCGGGGCGCAGACTGCCCCGCCTCATCCCCTGGCCGCCCCGCCTTCCTGCCGGGTCCCACGGTCCCCAAAGAGCTTTCCCGGTAGTCAAGCGTTAGTCACGGGAAGGGGAGGGGGGCTGGGGGTTGAGCTCATTTCTGGACAGTGGGGACCGGATGTGACTCTTGGTGGGGGGCGCACACACTTGCGGGAGGAGAGAGGAGCAGAGAAAGGGCAGCTCCAGCCCTCTCTGTGGCCGGGGCAGTGACCAGGAGAACCCCAAGCCTTCACAAGGGAAATGGGCACTTTGGTTCCAACTGAGTTCCCGTCACTTCTGCCTAATCGCCCCACCCCCACCCCCACCCCAGACAAGGTTTCATATGCGTAGCCCTGAAGACCAGGCTGGCCTCAAACTCAGAAATTAATCTGCCTCAGCCTGAGTGTTGTAAGTGGTACATCCCACCTCCACCCTGTCTGGCTCCACAGTTGCAGAGTTAACTTTGGAAGATTATCTTTCATTAAGTAACTTTCAAGGTGTTTTTTTTGTTTGTTTGTTTGTTTTGTTTTGTTTTTTTGGGGGGTAAACATTTTTGTATTTCGAGACAGGATTTCTGTATGCTCTGTAGACCAGACTGGCCTTGAACTCAGAGATCTGGCTGCCTCTGCCTCCTGAGTGCTGGAATTAGAAGCATGAGTCATCACGCCCGAACTTTCAGAATCTTTAATTTACTATTGTGGATTTTGAAATCACTTTGTTCGTTTTCCATTTACTTTGTATCAGACTAATTTACAGTGCGATCAAATCCTTGTAATCATCTTAGGAGATACCACCATCATTAAAATGTTATACGTCACCGGGCGGTGGTGGCGCATGCCTTTAATCCCAGCACTCCGGAGGCAGAGGCAGGTGGATACCTGTGAGTTCGAGGCCAGCCTGGTCTAGAGAGAGAGTTTCAGGACAGGCGCCAAAGCTACACAGAGAAACCCTGCCTCGAAAAACAAAACAAAAAAGTTATACATCAAAAACAGTTATAGACATACTTGTGATCCCATTCCATTAAGTGATGGCCTAGATCCAAACCCTGGCCATTTACACTGAGTCCACAAATTCCTTTTTAAGAGGTTGAGACCCCTTTAGGAATCAAGGGACCCTTTCACTGGGGTCATATATCAGATATCCTGCATATCAGATATTTACATTACAATTCATAACAGTAACAAAATTACGATTATGGAGTAGCAATGAAAATAATTTTATGGTTGGGGGACACCACAACAAGAGGGACTGTATTAAAGGGTCTCAGCAGTAGCAAGGTTGAGAGCCCCTGATTTAAAATCTGTTCTACAGAGCCTGGGGTGCACACTTTTAATCCCAGCACTTGGGAGGCAGAGGCAGGCGGATCTCTGAGAACTCCAGGCCAACCTGGTCTACAGAGCGAGATCCAGTATAGCCAGGTAGAGAGACCCTGTTTCCACAGAGAGGTGAGAGTGAGGAAATCCAGAGGTCTGTGTGCCAAGAGGATAGGAAGACAGGGACATTTGTGGGGATATGGGAAAGAGTCAGGCTGAAGAACTGAAGATTCCAATTGAGAATCAAGAACTGTAGGACTGGCCATGGTAGCACATGCCTTTGATCCAGCATTCAGGGGGCAGAGGCAAGTGGATCTCTGTAAGGTCAAGCCCAGCCTGGTCTATATGGTGAGTTTCAGGATGGTCAGAGAATCTGACTTTTTTTTTTTTTTTTTGGTTTTTCGAGACAGGGTTTTTCTGTGGAGCTTTGCGCCTTTCCTGGGACTCACTTGGTAGCCCAGGCTGGCCTCGAACTCACAGAGATCCTCCT